AATGATATTACTACTTTTGCTCAATTTGAGAGGGAATCMTTGTATGAAGCATGGAAACGATTTAAGGAGATGCTTAGGAAGTGTCCTCACCATGGGATATCAACTTGGCATCAAATTCAGACCTTTTATAATGGTATTACCCCCTCTAACCAATCCATTATTGATGCAGCTGCAGGTGGTACGATCATAAGGAAAACTCCAGAGGAAGCATATGACCTAGTGGAGGAGATGGTACCAAACAGCTACCAGTGGAGCAATGACCGAACTAATCAGAGGAGAGTACACCATCTAGCATCTCATGCGATTTATGTGGTGAAATGGGACATACTAATTCTAATTGTCAATTAAATAGTCCTTTTATTTCCCATGAGAATGCTAATTTTATCTCTCATGYTGGCAGGTCAAACTTTAACCCATACTCAAATACATACAACCCAGGGTGGAGGAGTCATCCAAAATTCTCATGGAGTAATAATCAGCAAAAGGCACCCATGGGTTTCCAACCACAGCCGGCCCCACAAGAAAAAAAGAGTAATCTGGAAGATATGATCTCTAAGTTCATTACTGCTACTGAAGCAAGATTTCAAGAACAAGATAAGAGGTTCTTAAGTCAAGAAATATCGATTAAGAACTTAGAAGTTCAAGTGGGGCAGATTGTAAGCATGCTGTCAGAAAGAAAAGAGGGACGACTACTGAGCAATACAGAAAAGAACCCCAGAGAGCATGTGAACGCCATAGCCTTAAGGAGCGGGAAGACAATCTGCGAAGCCCAAGAAGATGACAAGGAAGCTGAATCGGCCAATCTGCAAAAGGAGAATGAGGGAAGTACCCCTAAACTGAATTTACATGAAATTAAACTTCCTATTCCCTACCCAAGAAGAGTCTTGAAGGCTAAATTAGATAAGCAATTTGAAAATTTTTTTGAAGTGTTTAAAAGATTCATATTAACCTTCATCTTCTTGATATATTATCATAGATGCCCAAGTATGCCAAATTTCTGAAGGAAGTGATGTCCAACAAAAGGAAATGGGAGGATTGCGAGATGGTGAAGCTAAATGAAGAGTGTTCAGCCATTCTTCAAAATAAGCTACCCCCAAAACTGAAGGATCCAAGGAGTTTCTCTATACTTTGCACCATAGGGAATGCTGAATTCGATAAAGCCTTATGTGATCTTGGTGCTAGTATAARTTTAMTGCCYTAYTCTATTTTTAAGAGACTTGGATTACATGAACTAACATCTACCACCATTACCCTACAACTGGCCGATCGGAGCATTAAATACCTTAGGGGAATAGTGGAAGATGTCTTAGTTAAAGTAGGGAATTTCATCATCCCTGCTGATTTCATTGTGTTGGATATGGAGGAGGACAGATCGATGCCATTAATTCTAGGGAGACCCTTTCTTGCAACCGGTAATGCTTTAATTGATGTACAAAAGGGTCAACTTACTCTTAGGATTAATGGAGAAGAAATGATATTTAACGTTTTCCAAACCCTGAAGTATCATAACACGAAAGAACATGAAATATATGTAATCAACTCCATTGATGTGGTGGCAGCAGAAATTAATAAATCAAAGTTAGATGACCCCTTGCAAGCTGTCTCATTAATCCTTGTAACAACATGCAGGTAATGGAGGATGAAGTAGAGGAGACAATGAATTATTTAGAGGTTGGCCAAGAAATGTGCAAGCCAAGACAAGGGGAATTTCTACCATTAGATGGGCCGACTTCCTCTAAACAATTATTACCCTCCATCAAAGCACCACCAGCTTTGGAACTTAAACCCTTACCTTTCCATTTAAAATATATGTTTTTGGGAGACAGTTCCACCTTACCTGTAATTATCTCTTCTAAATTGACAGGTCTCCAGGAGGAAAAGCTTGTGAGGGTGCTCAAGCAACACATACCGGCCATAGGATGGAGCATCGCAGACATAAAGGGGATCAGCCCGTTGGTATGTACACACAAAATTCTGATGGAGGAAGGCTGCAGTCCCAAGGCACAACCGCAAAGGAGGCTGAATCCTAAAATACAACAGGCAGTAAAGGCAGAAATTCTGAAATGGCTCGAAGTAGGTATTATATATCCAATTTCAGATTCATCATGGGTAAGCCCCGTTCAAGTCGTACCAAAGAAAGGTGGGATTACTGTAATTATAAATGAAAATAATGAATCAACTCCCACAAGAACAATAACTGGCTGGAGGGTGTGCATAGATTATCGAAAACTAAATGATGCCACTAGGAAAGATCACTTCCCTTTGCCATTTATTGACCAGATGATAGAGAGACTTGCAGGGCACGAGTATTATTGCTTCCTAGATGACTACTCCGGGTACCTTCAAGTACCCATTGCACTGGTAGATCAGGAAAAAACTACTTTTACTTGCCCATATGGAACCTTTTCATTTAGGAGAATGCCATTTGGATTGTAAAATGCACCTGCCACTTTTCAGTGGTGTATGATGTCCTTATTTGGTGACTTCATCGATGACTTCATGGAAGTATTCATGGACAATTTCTCTATTTATGGATCATCATTCGATGAATACTTGCTTAATTTGGAAAAGGTACTTCAAAGGTGCGAGGAATCTAACCTTGTTTTGAACTGGGAAAAATGTCATTTCATGGTTAGGGAAGGAATCGTTCTAGGGCATAAGGTGTCCTCTCGGGGCATCGAAGTTGATAAAGCTAAAATAGAACTGATTGAAAAGCTACCTCCACCTCAGTCATTGAAGGATGTTAGGAATTTTCTCGGGCATGCCGGTTTTTATAGGTGATTCATCAGAGACTTCTCTAAAATCGACAGGCCCCTAACAAATCTGCTAGTTAAGGACGTGTCTTTTGATTTCAATGATGATTGTTTGCATGCATTCAACACCCTTAAAGAGAAATTGGTTCAAGTGCCGATTATATCAACTTTTGAATGGAAACTACCCTTCGAAATAATGTGTGATGCAAGCAATGATACSTTGGGCGCAGTGTTAGGGCAAAGAAAAGATAAGAAATTTCATACCATTTACTATGCAAGTAGGACMATGAATGAAGCACAAAAAAATTATTCCACTACCAAAAAGGAACTACTTGCAGTAGTATTTGCTATTGAAAAATTCAGATCCTATATGCTCTTATCTAAAGTTATCATATTCACTGATCATGCTGCCTTGAGATATCTGCTTGCTAAAAACGATGCAAAACCTAGGCTGCTACGATGGATCTTGTTGTTGCAAGAATTTGATTTAGAAATTAAGGACAAAAARGGTAGTGARAAYACARTRGCTGACCATTTATCAAGGCTGGATGAAAAGTATGTTGAAAATATTGATAATTCAGCCTTACATGATGAATTCCCAGATGAGAAACTATATGCAATTAATGCTAATAATGAACTGTGGTTTGCTAATTTAGCTAATTTCTTGGCAGGGAATGTGATGCCTCTCCACCTGACATATCAGCAGAGAAAGAAATTTTTCTCTAATGTGAAGTATTACTTATGGGACGAACCTTACTTGTACAAAATCTGCAGGGACAGTTTGATAAGGAGATGTATTCCTGAGGGGGAAGTACAAAGTGTTATAAAATTCTGTCATGACAAAGAAGTAGGAGGTCACCATGGAGCATCAAGAACCGCCTAAAAAATTCTCCAAAGTGGTTTGTATTGGCCATCACTCTTCAAGGATGTCTTTGCATATGTAAGTGCTTGCGATCATTGCCAAAGGACAGGTAATATCTCCCGAAGAAACGAGATGCCCTTAAGCAACATTCTTGTCTGCGAAATATTTGATGTATGGGGCATCGATTTCATGGGACCCTTTCCAAAATCTATTAATAATTCTTATATACTTGTGGCTATGGANGACAGGTAATATCTCCCGAAGAAACGAGATGCCCTTAAGCAACATTCTTGTCTGCGAAATATTTGATGTATGGGGCATCGATTTCATGGGACCCTTTCCAAAATCTATTAATAATTCTTATATACTTGTGGCTATGGATTATGTGAGCAAATGGGTGGAAGCCTATGCCTACCTTACTAATGATGCTCGAGTTGTCATTAAATTTATGAAAATGTTCATATTTACTCATTTTGGAACACCTCGAGCCATCATAAGTGATGGAGGAAAGCACTTTTGCAATAGACAATTTGAACAACTATTAAATAAATATGGTGTTACACACCGAATTGCAACCCCTTACCACCCTCAGACCAGCGGCCAAGTAGAAGTCTCTAATAGGGAACTAAAGCAGATTTTAGAAAAGACGGTCACCACATCCAGGAGAGATTGGTCCTTGAAGTTGGATGATGCACTTTGGGCTTACCGTATTGCGTTTAAAACCCCAATCGGTATGTCTCCCTACCAATTAGTTTTCGGCAAAGCATGCCATCTACCCATCGAGTTGGAACATAAAGCTTATTGGGCTACCAAATTTTTGAATTTTGAATTAAGCAATGCAGGTGATGCAAGGAAACTTCAGCTCAACAAGTTAGGTGAATGGAGGAATCAAGCTTATGAGAATGCCCGCACTTACAAAGAAAAAACCAAGGCTTGGCATGATTCTCGAATTGCTGGGAAGGCGTTCAAGGAAGGAGATAAGGTGYTGCTCTTTAATTCCCGCCTGAAGCTATTTCCTAGGAAATTGAAAACCAGGTGGAGTGGGCCCTTTGTAGTGTGGCTAAGGTATTCCCTCATGGAGCAATTGAACTACATAATGATAATGGGAGTACATTCAAGGTAAATGGACAGCGGTTGAAACATTATATTGAAGGAGAGCAACCCATCCATCATGAGTCTATTCTCTCTTCGAAACCACCATGAAAGAAAGGTGAAAGTCAAGCTCACAACTTAAAAAGAGCGCTTGTGGGAGGCAACCCATTAAGTTTAGTTGTTTGTTTTGTTCAGTTTTTTTTTCTCTTATGAGTGTATTTTTTTTTTCATATCTCATATCTGCAGGATCCAACGAGGCATTCGGGGAAGTCCTCTTAAATTTTTCTCTCCTTGTTCTTGTTATGCATATTCTATACATTGAGGACAATGTATATCCCTAAGTGTGGGGGAGGATTAAGGGGGCTGATAAATTTTTTGTTTCGGACTCTAGCATGCTTCGATTACCCCTCTCTAACCATTCTTTTCAAAATTTCTGCTCCTTAGAGACTCGTTTTTGAATAATTGTAAATCGTCATGAATCATGTGCTTAGGTAGGATAGACAAGAAATGATGCAGGCAAATCTAGCTGAAATTTTTTGGCTATGGAAGGTATCTCAGTAGTTTAAATGATCAACAGGCAAGATGCAATACAGATTTGACCCTTGTGAGCATTTGGTTTTTAACGGACAAACATGGTTTGATTATTCTAGAASTTGTTTTGTTAGGCATGTTGAGACCACGATAATGAGTTCATGTATTGGAACGTGTTATTTATCAAAAAAAGAAATTTATATATACTCGTGTGAGATGGAGCATAAAATGCACTCACACCGAGAGAAAAAAAGAACTAGTGCGAGATGGAGCATAAAATGCACTCACACTAAAAGAATAAGGAAAGGGTGAGATTGAGCATAAAATGCACTCATCCCTAGATCCCAAACCCTAATTCACCTTTTGATGCATTGGACTCAAGATAAGTGGTGGAGATGTGATACATGAGCAAGCTTATGTAATAACATTCCTTGTTTTGTTCTGAAAAAATCGTGAGAGGGTATTTATTTTGAATCTTGTTGCATGTGATTATTAAAACAAAGAGGGCATACTCTAGCCCTAAATTATTCCTACGAAGAAATGCCTGGTTCCCTTGATTGGCGATTTCACTTGGGAACATGAGGATTGGTGATTTAAGATTATTCTTTGACAAGTTAAAGAGGAAAAGGAAGTGGACGAAGGGAAGGACCATTAATACTGGATCAAGGCATGCGGGAGAACCAATACCCTGTTGAGAAAAATCCAAAACAATCTTTTAGTTAGCTTGTTCTTGTTTTAATTTTGTTTTGAGTTTTGTCTTGCCCGAGGAGGGGCAAAGTTTAAGTGTGGGGGGATTTGATGAGAGTAGAATTTATCATATT